TTTGTGTTGACAAATGTAATGTTTGGAGATAAGGGGTCTTAGAAAGTCGTATTTGTGTTGACAAATGTAATGTTTGGAGATAAGGGGTCTTAGAAAGTCATATTTGTGCTGACAAATGTAATGTTTGGAGATAAGGGGTCTTAGAAAGTCGTATTTGTGCTGACAAATGTAATATTTGGAGATAAGGGGTCTTAGAAAGTCACATTTGTGTTGACAAATGTAATATTTGAAGATAAGGGTTCTTAGAAAGTCATATTTGTGCTGACAAATGTAATATTTGGAGATATGGGGTCTTAGAAAGTCATATTTGTGTTGAGAAATGTAATGTTTGGAGATAAGGGGTCTTAGAAAGTCATATTTGTGTTGACAAATTTAATATTTGGAGATAAGGGGTCTTAGAAAGTTAGATTTGTGCTGACAAATTTAATATTTGGAGATAAGGGGTCTGGCGCTTTTCCACTTCGCTAATTTCCCTGTCTGCAATTTTAACATAAGAAATATTAGAAACGTGGATAGGGTACTATAGTATTAATAGTGTTACAATTAAGGGCTGTTTATAAATTTCACTTTTTTGAAAGTCCATGTGTCTGTCCTAGGTTTCTTCAGAAGAAGTATCAACAAAAATGTTGTTTACCAGTGTAAGTATGGCAACAACTGTGAGATTGACATGTACATGAGGAGGAAGTGTCAGGAATGTCGACTGAAGAAGTGTCTCAGTATTGGAATGAGGCCGGAATGTAAGTTATTTTGTCATCTTAGTCTTTTATTGATAGAAGTGGGGGATATAATGTATGTTATCTTGCCCTACGTGTAATTGCAGGACAACTGGGGACCCGTTGATCCATTTAGGCCGTCCCATCCACTAAACTAAACTCTAAAATGAAAATAAAACCATCAAAGCCAGCCCTTATCTTTCAAGCTTTTATCAAGCCTTTTCTTAACCTCCCTTAAATTAACTGCATCTGAAGGCAATCCATTCCAAAGGCCAACCACTCTGTTAGAGAAATAGAGCTCTCTTAGCTGAAGATTACTGCCACTCTGCCTAAATAGTTCTACTATTCTTACTATTAAGTACGAAAAAAGGATTATGCATCAACACTATCAATTCCCTTAACAGTTTTAACAGATAATTTCAGAGATCTTGAACTGTTCTTATGACAATATTTCCATCCTACATATTATCTTAGTAGTTCTCCTCTGATCCCTTTCCAACAAATCAACGTCCCCGTGTTTTGTTGTTGGAATGGAACCAGAACGTCAGTTATTCTGTTAGCATAGCATGTCTACGTAGGAATGTGTTTAGAATGTAGGCTATATTTTCATCTTAGTATTTATTGTTGAAATGAGGCTGAAATATACGTTTTACTGTTGGGTTAATGAATCTGGAATGCAATTCTAATGAGTGAAAGCGAATGTGAATGTTATAATATGTCAACCACACTACATCTATCATATTCAGTGCTGACGAGGCCTTTCGCTCAATACCAAGGCTCATCAGGCCGGCTTGATTACGATAGACATGGTAGTGATATTTATTGTATCGTAGCCAGCCTGAAGAGCTCTGGATTGGGCGATATGCGCAGTCGGCAACAGAAATGACGAATATAGTGTGGTTGGAATACTATTATTGTAAACTTTCCTAATTCTTGAAAATCCCTAAGGGTCTAGCTACAGAATGTAGTGTTAAAAATATAATAGGCCTAATACTAATGTCTTATCTAATATATATATATAAATATAAGCCGGTAACTCTCCGTTTGTGTGTGTCGCATAACAACAAAACTATGACCTGATATTGTTGTCTTAAGTATGTATGTAAGACTTCGAATGTTCACGATGGCT